TCTAATAAAAGTTTAAACATTTTCTTGTAGTAAGAACATTTCTCATTATCTAGTAAACATTGATTTGAATCAAATCATAAGCATATTATAAAGATCATTTTTAGTTTACTAGATAATGTTATTTCTGTATCTAAGAATGTTTAAAGGGTACATTTATTATAATGAATCAATTATTATACACTTTTTCTACCAAGTGTTTTTACAAATATCAAAATATCTACATGTTCTTGTGTTGTCACTCTACTTGGTGGCATGGACCTGGGAGAGTAAAACCTAAAAATGAGTTAGATTGAAGTTTCATGCAACAGCCATTTTTATTCAAGGCATCAGACAATTTATATTCTGAGGGTATTCTGTGGGCTAAGCAAGGTCGTGTAAGCAAAGTTCGCTTGAGTCCAAATTGTATACAGACACAAGGGCAAGGTCACATGAATTTAGATTGTAGACAGTCTGGAGGACAACTCATGCTTGGAAACCTCATTCTGAATGATAATGGGTAAGATGATGGATAAGTAACTCCATTCCTATTTATTACAACTGGGAGGAGCACGAAAGCACATTCCAAGTACAGCCCATGTCATGGAGAAACAGAGATTACAAAACTCTTGTGATGTTTAATCCCAGCTACATTCATGGACTATGTTCCAATATTCCTGTAAGAAGAATATTACAGTTTTTACTAGAATGATTTAAGCACAAAATTCTGAGTTATTTTACTGCAATTTCCAAGATTAATTCCATTGTATTCCTCCCATCTTTAGTTAATGTGTGTGTGCTATGTATAAACACATATCTATGCATGCATTCACATATATCTTTCCTAACCTTTCCAGAACAATGCCTTTATATTATCCCTATGCTTAAACTATAAACATTCTCAATTGTTGGGGAAGTCCTGTTATTTGCCTGTGCATTTGTCAATAAAGTACTGTCTGGCCAATAGAAAACCTAGATAGGAGGGACTAGGAGTCGAGGAGGATTCTGGGAAGGGGAAACACAAGAGAGTCAACATGTAACCGCCATGGGGGTAGGACACCGGGAACTATTCTCCGGTAAGAGACATACTTAGATTAACAATTATGGGGTAATTATTTAAGGCAGAGCTAGCCAGTAAGAGACAAACAAGGCCAACAGCTTCATAATTAATATAGCTTCCTGTGTGTTTATTTGGGACTCATGCAGATCTAGAACCAGGCTGGCGCGGCAGAGCCCAGGCGACTGGCGGGGGATAAACCAAAGCGGCTAGCAAAGGAAAAAGCTTCTCTTAACATAATGGTGATCAGGAGTGGGATTGAATTTCCACGTAGAATGACAAAAGCTTTAAAGGAATTTTAGAAACAGAAGAATGGAGAGAATCACAGATTATTGGTAGCAGCATTTTTCTCAGGTGTGCTCTGTTTTGCTATCGACAAGCTGAGATTCACGTGGCTCGCTTACCAGAGTCTTCCTGACTCGGCATAAAAAAAAAAAAAAAGAAAGAAAGAAAAAACAACAACAAGGTTGTTTTAAGAGACTCTGCTAACGATTGAAAAGTTGTACGTACCGCTGGAAGTGGCAGCTTTTGCTGGAGGTCAGCATGGACTGAGGCAGTAAGCTGGAGTCACGCTTACGCCCGCCATCTTGAAACGGCAGTTTAAAACAGCCGCGGTTTTACAGATAAGACACATGGCCAGAAAAACATAAAGATTTACAGTAAAGTCAGACTTGGATAAAGAAAAACTTCTAAAGGTTTACAGTGTGTTTAAAAATATACGTGAGATTGAGAGAGAAAATGAAACGGCAAAGTGGTAAATAAATGCAAAAGCCGGCTGTGGTGGCGCACGCCGGTAGGAATTGCCCCAGAGGCAGAGGCAGGCAGGTTTCCGAAGAGAAACCCTGTCTCAGAGAAAAATAAATAAAAGTGAAAGAAATAAAGTAATAATAGATAAATAAGCCACGTAAAGATGGAAAATACACAGAGAATCTGCATACTGTACGCTATTATGTTTTTCAGTTTTTTGATTACTCAGGAAAGAACTGCTAAAGTACACTTGATTATAAATGCTGCGAATTAATCCAACTTCTATCTTTTAAAAATGGCTTGACTTCAAAATTTAAGTGTAAGGATATGTTACTTGGAAACGGAGTTTTTATTTATGTTTCTACAGAAAATGAAAAGCTAAGGATTCCTTCCAGGCTTTTGTGGTTTGACGAACCAAGACCCCCGGAAGCAGTGGACCAAGTGTTCCAACAATCAAAACAGCGAAGATGATGCAGTCTTACAGACCCCGAAAATATGGACTTATACAGGTTTCTGAGTTTTGTCATGATCCCCATGGTATAAACAGCGCCCCCTTCCAGCAGGAAGCAGTTTGGAATGAGCGACGTCCCAATTCCCATCTTGTTTATAAATCTTTGTTTTCATTTAAATAGGATTGTTTATAATTGGCTAGTGATCACAGCCAATCTTTTTTAATGGTAAAAAAGGGGAATTATGTTATGGGTATTGTTTTTCATTTATTGATACAAATTCAAAGTCAATTTTGTGATAAGTATATTTCTCCTCTTGTTTAAGTATTGTGCTTATACTGATCTTTTACAACATAATGCATAATTGAATACAGATTATAGATACTTACTTATAATAGTCAGAATTTAGAGTTAGGTAAGTTAGGATTTCTAGATATATAGAGATGTATTTGAAACAGATAGATAGTCTTCAAACCTCTCAAAGACCTTCAGAAAATGGCATTTAAAATGGTTTAGGGTTTTTCTTGACAATGAGAAATGTCTGCTCCTGGCAGCACCAATTACGTCTGAGAGGAAGATGGGCATCGAAGAAACTTGTTATGGAGTTTGCTTTCAACATGGCAAGATTAGCCATTTGGGCAAGAACTGCTCTTGCCTGTACTTCTTGACTGTTGTTGTATAAACTGGACAAGCAGGACCCACAGGAAAGTGACTACTGAACTCAGTCTTACAGGGTTCCTGCTTCATGAAAGAGTCTACGAGACTTTCTACAGGACAAAGAAAAGTGAATAACAGACTGCCAATGCAGATGGACAGTTTGAAATTTCCTGCTTTGCTGAGAAGTGTTCCAGACACATTGTGGCCTATGGGCTGAAGATGGATGCCCAGAGGAACTTCGGGTGACTGTCCAGGCAGTAAGATGTCTCTGTCAATCCTAGTGTTTATATATTATCCTTCTGTGGTCTTTGATGGAGTTGAAGACAGATAGTTATAGTTTTCCTTAGTTATGATAAAAGATAAGCTACATATAGGACTTTGGACTCACAAGAATGGGATGGATGATATTTTCTTTAGATCTTGCTAAATGTTAATAGACAAAATGTTGTAACTGTGTTCTTACTTGATAACTGTTCTGTCATATACAATTTGACTATGTTAAAATTAAGACCTTTCTTTTGTTTAAACAGAAAAGAGGAGATGTTGGGGAAGTCCTGTTATTTGCCTGTGCATTTGTCAATAAAGTACTGTCTGGCCAATAGAAAACCTAGATAGGAGGGACTAGGAGTCGAGGAGGATTCTGGGAAGGGGAAACACAAGAGAGTCAACATGTAACCGCCATGGGGGTAGGACACCGGGAACTATTCTCCGGTAAGAGACATACTTAGATTAACAATTATGGGGTAATTACTTAAGGCAGAGCTAGCCAGTAAGAGACAAACAAGGCCAACAGCTTCATAATTAATATAGCTTCCTGTGTGTTTATTTGGGACTCATGCAGATCTAGAACCAGGCTGGCGCGGCAGAGCCCAGGCGACTGGCGGGGGATAAACCAAAGCGGCTAGCAAAAGAAAAAGCTTCTCTTAACACTCAATTAGAATTATTTTTAACATATTTCAGAAATGAAAATTATTGAGATAATATTATTTTAGTATCTAACAGAACTATACACCTTGACTTGTTAGCCCAAACTTCATTGATGTTTGATTTTATGCCTTCATATCTACCTTTTAAGCTACAATACCCATAAACTATGCTCAGATGTATGTAAATCCTATTTATGCAACTAAGTTTTATGATATCAGAAATTATTTTAAATAAGACTATTGTTGAATGCTTAAAAACATAATTAGAAGTTTGATCAATGAGTTAATCATTAAAAGGAGATCCCTCACAACAAGTGCAGGGCAGGTAAAAGGACATGGATCCCTTTTGTTGCTGTTTTGTTTTGTTTTTGTTGATTTTTGAGTTTTTTTTAAATTTATATACTTACTTTACATCCTGACTGCAGTTTCCTCTCCCTCCTCTCCTTCCAGTCCCTCCTCCAGTCCCAGTCTGTCCCCACCCCTAAATGCACTCCTCTGTTTCTGTTTAGAAATGAACAGGTCTCCCATGGCTATCAACAAAATATGGCGTATCAATTTGCAGTAAGACTAAGCACCTCCCCATGTATTAAAACTGGACAAGGTGACCCAGTATAAAGAGTAGTGTCCCAAAAGCCTGTAAAAGAATCAGAGATAGTTCCTGTTCCCACTGTTAGGAGACCCCTAGAAGAACAAGCTACAAAACGATAACATATATGCAAAGTGCCTAGGTCAGTGTCGTGCAGGCTCTCTGGTTATCTGTTCAGTCTCTGTGAGAGCCCAGGTTAATGGATTCTGTGAGGTTTGTGGTGAAGGATATGGATTCCTAGGAGGTCAGAAACGGTAGTCATGAATAGCTGTTACTCTCTATGCAGAGAGAGGAGGTAGACGAGGCTTCAAGTTTCAAAACAATTTCATGAAAGAAAAAATGGAATACAGAAAAAAGGGATTTTCTAAAGATCTAAGAAGTGTAATATCCATTGTTGCAAAAAACAGAAATGTCAAAAGAAATGACTGATTGGATTTTTAAATTTTTTTTCTAATTACTTGCTGAATAAGACAGAAAATTAGAGTCCATTAAACTGCAGGTTAAAAATATTAGATACAAGGATATTACCAAAGGAAAAAAAATGAAAACGACTAAGTCTGGCTTATCTGGCTTTTAAATGTTGTGTTTCATTTCCCCCATAGAATGCCAGAATCCCCTGGTGATGTTCCAGAATATCCATTGTTCGTCACAGTTGGTGACTGGTTGGATTCTATAAAGATGGGGCAGTACAAGAGTAACTTCATGGCAGCAGGATTTACAACATTTGATCTGATTTCAAGAATGAGCATCGAGTAAGTAGTTCTAGACTTATGACTGTAATTAGATATTCTGCTCATGGAATTTCACATTCACACGTCCAATCATGAATATGTTTCCTTAGGCTAGTATATGATTTCTGTCATTATCATTCCAGTGGAAGCTGAAGTTGCATTTTCAACTATTCTTTCAAAGAATATATTTAATTCAAATAGATTTTGACATTGCTGTAAATGATTCCAAAATGCATAATGATCCTATTTATATCATAGACATTATATCAACATAGTGTTTGTTGCCTTGGTCAATTGTTTTTCACATGTACTAATAAAGCATAGTCACTTCCTATTATCTTCCTTACATCAATCTACTTTAAAGAGTTACTGCCATTTTAGAGATCCTTCTATGTATTATCTTGATCAGACATCTTCCATTGTCTCAAAGATCATCCTTTGCCTATATCCAATAGAAATGTTCAAAATGTGTGTTAAAAACATAACAAATACATGGAGCTATGTGAAATTACCATTGGTTTTTTTTTTTTTTTTTTTTTTTTTTGGTTTTTACAAGACAGGGTTTCTCTGTATTGTTTAGGAGGCTATCGGTCCAGCCCGGCCTCGAACTCACAGAGATCCGCCTGCCTCTGCCTCCCGAGTGCTGGGATTAAAGGCGTGCGCCACCACCACCCGGCTGTGAAATTACCATTGTTTTAAGATAACAATGCAATTTCATATGTTTCAAAATAATGACAGTTTTTAAATAAAATACTGGATTTTATTGATTCTTATAAATTATTTCTCATGTATGCACAAATGAGTAAAAGAGTCAGTCTGACTCTGGTCCCACTGTTAGGAATCCCTCTTGAGTAACTCCTATTCACAAATGTCAAAAATTCCAGTGTACCCACCGAGTTTATGAGATAGTCCACTCATAAAGCAGTTTAAGTTCTGTATGTAGCCCACTTCTATCATATCTCCCACCCCCATCTCAAGGTTGTTACTATTCTGTAGTGCTTATTATTCTGTACATGCCTTATTTACATATTTCATATGAATTTTAAAATTCATGTAAGAGATTATGCATTGTTCCTGCTTTTTTCACCCAATATTTGAGATTCATTTGTGTTCATGCCTATAAATCTGGTTCATCAGTGTAGGCTACTGTGTGAGATTTTCTTAACGTCTCACTGTTTTTTAAATTGCATTAGTACAAGCATTTTTGCATTGTGTGATTTTTGTATTCATTTTCGTGTACCTCTTAAGCACAGAAGTGCAGTTACTGTAGGGTTTTAGAATACATATATTTCCACTTTATCTTCACAAAATTGCTAACTTTTGATTATCATTTTCATGCCCATATTATACCTCTACCCTACATACTCTGCATTGTCTATAACTGTTGCAAGTTTATATAACTACTTGAATTATAGATAGCCTTATGCCTATAGAAATGTAAACATTCTATCTAGATATGAAACTTTTCTTCATATATTTTATGAAGTATATTTTATGAAACAAGGGAGAAAGAAAATATAAAATTTTGATATTCAATTATATGACTACTTAACAATTAACCAACACATTTTTTGTCAAATGTAACATGGTATATATTTAACATAGGTAAGTATTCATTTTCTCTGACTTGTATTTATTAAATCCATATGCTCAAAATTTCTCTCTCTTTCTCCTCCACATCCGTTCCTCTCTGCCTCTTCTCCCTTCTCTCTGTCTTCATACTCTCTTAGTGACATTAGACGAATTGGAGTCATCCTCATTGGACACCAGAGACGAATAGTCAGCAGCATACAGACTTTACGTTTACATATGATGCACATACAGGAGAAGGGATTTCATGTATGAAAATACTATAAACACCTGTATTTTGTGCCTCAGCATTTCTACAAAGAAAGACATACCCTCTACGACTCATTCTTCTGATTCTCCAGACATCCCTTCACAACCCACAGTCTCCTGTTCAGACTATGGCTGCACATCTTACGTTTACGCTTCCACCCTGGATTTCGATATCCTGCTACACAGGTCCTCTCTGAATAGCCTGCAAATGAAACTCTGGCCCACTGCAGATTATCACTACATAATGATAAATAACTCAGCATGAATGTGTAACTTTGTATAGAAATGTTTGGGAAGTGTTCATGGACTTAACCTAAAGGAATTTTTCCAGGTGTGGCATCTTCAAAGATGTGTGTAGAGTTTGATGGTAGATAGGAAGAAATAGTTGACCATTCTTCGATGTTTTGTGATTGAGTAGCTTCCAACTTGACATGCTTCTTTTTCGATAGTTTTACTCAATGCTACGGGTTGTGCTGTTGTTTTATTTTTAATAACTTAACTGTTGGTGCCTGATGTTGTTACAACGATTTGCAGAAATGATCAATGATTCCATGTAGTGCATTTGTGTTGGGTGTGACTACAGTATGAAGGGCATTGTTGGGGAGGGAGATGAACAAAAATACTGTGCTTTTAAATATTCTAAGGCTGGGTTTGTCTATATTTTTAAATTAACTTTATAGGGTTCTACACATTTCATAGTAGGTGGTTGTTTAGAGGCTTTTCCCCCTCTAATTTTTTACTAACTATACTGTATTACTCTAGTATGTTACAAGAATCACCCTTGGAGAGACCAAGAGTGAGTCCACTACTCTGATAGTTTTCACAGACAGACACATGGAGTAAACCTATGGCTGTTCCCTTGGATTCATCTTCACAAGTTTGAAAAACAATTATCAAAGCATTGAGAAGGCTAATTGTTCACAATGAAACATTTTTAAATAAAAAGTCTAACATAGTATCCATAGACTACATGGGAAATGATTTACTAAATTTAAGATAGCTTGCAGTGGCCAAAGGTAATAAACACATCTAGTTGATTGATAACTGGTGTATTTTCCAACAATTCCAATATTTTGTTCACAAAAAAAGTTACAGGAACACTCTGAGCTGTTTTCCAAATCTTCTCAGAAATTAGTATGGCTACCATAGGCATGATATAAATAGATCTCACATTTAAGCATATATATATATATATGCATATATAATGTAATCCTTGGTCCATCATAATATATGAAAATAAGAACACATATGAGCCATGTTATCATAATCTTCTCTGGGGCTCCCAGAAAAAAACAAGCAAATATATTTTTCCAGTGAATTTGTCAGCTTATCAAAATAGTGCTCCTTTTTAAACAAACAGTAAAATCATGTGCTCCCCATGAAACTACAAAAATTACCGTCATGATGAGTGAAGAATAAGCTGGTTATTGAGGGGGGAAATGCAGATTCTGTGTATAAAGATGCGGATTTAGTGTAATATTTTTAAATTGATGTCAGAGACAAAAGTACCCTCTCCACATCCCCAAATTCCTACCTAAACTGTACTGAGAGAGTATAAAACTTTGCCTATTTAGGGATCTTCACTTTTCCTTTTACTCTTGTTTGTAAGATCCTGCTACATGATTTCTTTAGCTGATTTATCTTCCTGAATTTTTCCTCCTTTTGCAGCGTAATTTTTCTCATTTCAAAGAAAGCATGTATAGAGATAAAAGATGTCTTTAGAACATTCCTTAACTCTACAGAAGGAAAGAGTGGAATTCCAGGCCTTTTTAAGTAAGTGTGTCAGAAACAGCTAGTAACATTTCCTAGCCACCTACATGCATGACCGTGCATCACTCATAAACTCTCTGCAGTTTGCTTGATACATTTACACAAATCTGGATATATATTTAGGGGAAATACAAAATTTCCATATTTATCTGTGATTATCTATTAAGTGAGAACAGATGTAAACAGATGATTAAATTTATTAATCATATATATTTATTTTTATAATACAACAAAAAGGGTATTTAGAAAAATAATAAATAGAATAATACTGTCCATCGTAGGACTCTGTCTGCAGCATCTGTATGCCTTGATGAAATAAATTCTATAGTAGTCATTGAAATTCTGTGGGATTTCCATTTGGTGATGGCAAGATTTAAAAATCTGTTAATATTCTTCTCTTTTAAAATTCTTATGATGCAATTCTAGTTAATTTCCATTTCTATCATATGTCTTTCCTGATTTATTAAAACATCATCTTTCTATTCTCTACCCCCATATCTTGCAAGTTTTGTAAAATTAAGTTTATAACTTACCAAGCTATGATCATGATACTGTCCTGTGTGATTGTGAACTTCATGGTAGGCAGAAAAAAGCAGAAATGTGTGCAAACTTAAACGGAAATATTAAAATACAAGAATAGCTATTTATTTGCTGCCTAATGGTCACATACCCTATAATCCAAGAAGAATTAAGATCTGGGAATATAAATGGTTAAAATGCCCAAATGCATTTGGCAATATATTATGAAACATTCTGAGATTTACTGATACCTATGTTCAATAACTAAATTAATTTGATACATACAATTATAAAAAATTACCCCAAAATAAGCTAATGGCTTTCATAATTATAGTTAGGAGTAATCTCTTATAACTAAGATATACATTATGCACTTGCTTTTAAGAAAATGTAATTGATTCAAATGAGTGAGTTCTTAGAATTTTGAAAATCAGAACATGTAAATTTTTTATTTTCTCAAAGTCAACTTCTTGTCTATAGCCAAAAAAGGTGTATAAAAAAGTACAATTAAAAACAAAGATGGTGTATTTCAATCAACCACTTTAAAAGTATCTGAAATGATGACAGTGTAACAGAAGGAAGAATTATAGAAAGCTTGCAAAGTTGCCCAATAATGGCTGATAAATGTGTTGTGCATGCTCTAATAAGACATTTATCACTGTTTATCACTCCTTAAAATCTTCCCAGCTACAAACTAAATAAGAGAGCCGTCCAGCCGGGCATTGGTGGCGCATGCCTTTAATTCCAGCACTCAGGAGGCAGAGGCAGGCGGATCTCTGTGAGTTCGAGGCCAGCCTAGTCTACAGCGCCAGTTCCAGGATAGCCTCCAAAACAATACAGAGAAACCCTGTATCGAAAAACAGAGAGAGAGAGAGAGAGAGAGAGAGAGAGAGAGAGAGAGAGCCTTCCAACCATGACTATAAAGCCTCTCACAGCCCATAATAGAAAAATTTAATCTGTGAAAAGTAAAGTTTTTTGTAAAGTCCTCTATGACAGTGATAGGGAAGAGGAAATTGCACATCATTCAACCTATGTTCTAAACGTCTGTTTGATATCTTTCTCTATTAAATTTACACGCTGGGAGAAAGTCTGTTAAACTCTCATCTCAAGGTTTTTACTAGCATTGTTTTTTATTCCTTTATTAAATTTTTCAGGCCTCTGTTTTTTGTTTAAATCCCCCATCCAATCTCTTGGTTTATTTCTATCACAGGTTCTATCAATATATTCATTATATCAGTATAGCGAAGCACAGCAAGTCTAAAAAGCTTTGTAAATTTTTGTGGAAGGGGCTGAATGGCAGGGTAGGTTGAGAAAGATTATACTTTTAATATGTCTTAGCATACAAATGGGAGTCCTTCAAGTTAGAAGGTGTGGATCTGACTTTGCTTAATAGAAAATTAAACACAAAGGAAAGAAATTCAAAATGGACGGTTGTTTCTGCATCTTCAGCTTATCAAGTCTAGTATTACATAAAAAGAAATTAGTATTTTAATAATCTAATGCTACCTTATAGAGGATCTGATCTGTGTCTTTATATGTAAAAGAGTTTTACAGAAGATGCATCAGTTCTTATATTCTGGTCCCCTTAACTTTCACAACTTGAATTTCATGAAGTCAAGAAACTCATGTTCATAACTAATTAATTAAAACGTATTTGACACTTTGTTAAACAGTAGAGGAGTAAAGTGGGTACAATTGGGCATGTTCTTTTGACCTTCACGTGACCAAGTCACATAACTTTTTCTTTTATAATCAACATTTCCAAAGTCCTTTCTCATTTTTTTATAATGTTCAGGAAAGTATAAATTTTATTTACTGTAGTTGAAGAAAACAACATGTCTCCCATACATATAATTATTTTTCACAAAAATGAATTTAAGTACAGTTATTGGTTGCTATTAATCCCCAAGTTTAAATTTTAGAGATTGGAGCCTCCTTACATTATGCTATGCTAACTATCATGAGGGTTAGATCTTGCTATAGAATAAGACTAAACAAACAGGAGCTAGTCAAATGTGAAGTGCATTTTCAATTCCTGTCAGAAAGATATTTTTTGAACCTTGGAATCTCTTAAAATTCTTCCCAAACATCCATTACTCTGTTTTGTAGAGGGATTCATGCTTGTGGGTTCTGTAAGATAGTCTCATCAAAGTCAGTCCATATATGAACTCATTCTTCAGATAGCCTGTAAAACATCGGTTTTTTTTTTTCAAATCAAACCTGAAACTAATCTCTTACCTGAGCTAATTTTTCTAGCAGATGTGATAGTATGAACTTCAAAGCTTTCATAAAATCCTTTCCAGCAGGATCCATTAACCGGGGAAATAAGTGATTGACCATGACTAGACTAAACAGAGCCAAATGGAAGAAAAATCTTACATTGCATAAAAACAAATATCCCACCTTCATCTTACTGTTCCCTTTAAAGATAAGGCTTAGATGTTTTAAAGATTTATGGGAAAAACAGGAGGGTTTGTTATACAGAGATATGACATGAAACATATGACTCCTGGGAATAAAGTTGAAAAGGTCTAAAGTCACAGATAATCCACATGTAATTTAACTAACCTCTTTTACTGACTAGTAGTTAGATTCAAATTATCATTAGGTTAAATTATTGTGAGCATCTTTATAACTTGGCTTGAGCTCTTGTTTCTTGGATCAAGTGTTTTCTGTTTGATTGGCAGATTTCCCTTTTGAAATCATAGAATATATCTAAAAGTTTAGCTTTTCAAGTTACTGCATTTTAAAATGAAGCACGTAAGTTAAGAGAACTTCGATGCTAAAGGAAGATAAAGGACTTGTAAATGAACTTCAATTTTCCACAAGAATCTGACAACTACAATACTTGTGCACCTCAGTGTTGTCAAGTCACTTCTTTATTATATTTAAAACTTTTCTAATGAAATCATTTTTATAAACAAAACAATTTCCTTTATTAAAGTGTTATACCCATTAGTCACATTTCCATCTTTTCTTCAAAATCCAGAATCTTTGATTTGTTTCATATTAAGATAAATTTTCTTAATCCTCCGACCCTTAAGTACAGCCATTTTTTTGACGAATACAAAGCCACTGAAAAAATATTACCTGTCCAAACATGATAAAGGATAATGCTTAAATATAATACAGAGTTTTGCATACTAGGGAAGTGTTGTACCATTGATCCACATTCATCCTCAGGGCAAATTGTTTCTAGTTTTGTATGAGCAAATAAGGTACAGGTTAACCAAACATTTATCCCACAAGTTGCAAATTCAATCAATATGAATCTTCTCAAGTAACATATCTGTCCTTACCCATGCATCTGTATCATATTCATCTTCTAGTGATCTGTGTCACAATAGCATTTTAAGTTGGTGTGTTATCAAATCAAATAGTGAATATGAATGCTAGCTACTCTAGGATCCCTAAGCAATTGACACCAGGATCTCCATGTCAATAGTCCTCATTGAAAGGAAGATCCAATGTTGTCTTCCCGTGGTACATGATTATAAAGAAAACTCTGGGATCATAAGAATCATTGTTTTCCATATATCCTGTTCAGATTTTATATTCAGTCAGTCATAATTGTTTTCATGAGCTAAACATGAGCTTAAGTATGAAGCAATATTGACATGAGCTGTTATTGTTTGTGTTTTTGTGCTGTTACTCAAGAACAAGGCCTTGTCATGGAAGGCAAGCACTCTACCATTGAGTTACTCCCCTGGATGCTGGCAGCATTTCAGTACAAGTCTGTTCATGTCTGTAGTTCCTATGTAAGACACTCTTCTTGTTCTCTGTTCTAGAAAGAGACAATATCGTTTTTAAGTGTTTGAAACCATGATATGTCGGATGAAAAAAAGCCAGTTCCTAAAGACAAATCACAAAGTTCCAAGGTTTTATCTGCAATGGTCTGCTGCTTTTGGGATGGCATAAATCTTTTCAACATTGAGTTATTTGTAGAATTGGCTGTTTGTGTTTTAGAAAGAACTTTCTTTAACATATTTTTCATTTAAATATATCTTCATTCAATCTGAAAGGCTGGAACACTATTAATTCTATTGCCTCAGTTTGACAGGGGTAGTAACGTTCTTTCCTAGTAATCCTGAACTGTAGATGTTACTATCAAATCCATGATGAATTGTTAACTGGGAGTGCTTTATTTGTTGTCGTATATTTGTTTTCCTTTACTAAATCTACTTAAAATAAGGTCTTTTGAAACTCTAAGAAAATAAAAACCAGTAGCCACTCACATGCTAAGGAATTTGTAAATGAATGAGCTATTTTCCCATCAAAGTGGTTGACGTGATCATTGTTAAATCCAACTTGTTCCCATATTCACTATTATCTAGAAATACCGTTGCCATATACACTCAAAGTATTGTTGAGGCAATACTGAATATTACAGACAATAAGTGAATAATGAGGCTTTTAAATTTTTCTGCACTACATAGAGAGCAAAGTTTAATGTATAAATTAATGTTTTTCATTTGAGTTTTTAATTTAATGTGTTCTCTCTTCCTGAGATATATATAGTTCTTGAAGGAAAATTATATTAATACATTGATACTATGCAAAATGCTCATTTTTCTTTTTTATAAAAACATGGAGCTTCTGTTCAACTTTGTTTTTAATTAGTCCTTTGAGAGTGGAAAAAATATAAGTAAAACTTGAAATTGGAGCATTTTAGGGGAGAGGGGCACAATATTAGAGCAATAGTCATAGAAATGATGTAAAGAACACTTGATTTTAAAGGTCACTGAATGTTTTCATGTCTGATATCATATTATTCATTTCACTAACATGACTCCCCATCAAACTGTGACATTGAAAACCTGTATGTGGAATATAAATGCATTTGGGAGAATTTTTCCAGTCGCGTAGTTTTCACTTTATGTGCAAGGAAAGTATCAACAGCTTAAATTTTGTTTTGAAGTGGAAATTTTTAACTAGCAATGCTTGCTAAAATGTTAGCTATACTTGTAATAGCAGCATACATGGAAGATCACAACCATTAAGTCTAACTTTAATACAGAATATTACAGACCAAAAGGTAGTAAAATTAATGGCTTATGTTAAAGTGGTTACTTGATTTAAGAAGAAAACTATCAGAAAAGAAGCGGTTAACATTATGTCATGTTGTTCTCACTGGCAATTTTGAAACAAATGCATTGTGAGGATGTGAATATATAATGTAAATAATTCTACTCATTTTTGTGAAAATATATATTGACATTAAACTAGAAAAAATCTTATGGAAACACCCAAATTAAACAACTATTTTTTAAAAACACACTAGAAGGTGTGGTTGTATCTGAATGTTCTTTTAGTAACGCTTTTGATTCCTAAGAAACGTAAGCAAAATATTTTTAAAATAATAATTCATTAAGTGTGACTTTCAAAATATTTTACATGTGTAAATGAATTATCCAATTCATGGATTTTTACATCTGTCATTAAATTTAAAACTACCTAAAAGACACTGAAGAACTGAGATGAAAGAGTTTACTATGAACATACTTTCAAGCAGTTATGTCTATTTTACAAAATATTAAATGTTTTTAAAATTCATTATCTTCATATAAATTTTATGTGACACTTTTTTTTTTTGCATCACGCTCGAACTTTAAAAGCTTATATTCTTCATTTCCCCAGTTGCTTTCAGAGCCACTCCTTGGAGTTTGGATTTTAAATGAGTCCTTTGTTTTATTTGTTCATTTTTAAAATAGAGTGTCACTTAGTAGCCCAGGCTGGCTTCAGGATCCTCCACCCACTGTCCCTAGGTGCTTAAAGTACAGAATTGTGCACTTGGAGTATAGTTGCATGTTTTATATTTTCATTCAATTCCATAATGTTAGTAACTTTCCAATTCTCAAAAAGTTGATACCAAATGTCATTACAGTAGCTAGAATTTCTTTTTCCTTTGTCAAATTGTTCTTCTTTTATCTCACACTAGCCAGATATCCTATAAGGTAGTTAGAAAAAACAAATTGTTTTACTTTCTCCATAAGAAAAAATAAAAAGGAAGTCCACAATTTACTTAGTGAATTTAGGATAGCAATGTTTAATTTTTCAGTCATTTTTACTTATGTTTATTTGATGTTTAAAGTTTCAGTGAATAAGATGTTAAAGCAAAAGTAAAAACTATTCCATTTCATATAATCTCTTTTTTTTCTTCCAAGTTGTAAAACCTTCTGAACAATCAAGACATTCCATTTTCCTAGTTCACAAGCTTAACCACTCTATAATTTAATGTAAATGATCATAACATAATTTGTCTAAACATTTATCTTATTTATACTATGTAATGTTTAAGACAACAACAAAATAAAGGAAATTATGTCAGCCTACTGGTCAGAAACTGTAAAAGTCCTCAACTTTAAAGTAAGTACACATGCTTACATACAGTTTCATTTTAAATATGTTTTTTTTATCCAACAACACAATAAGGGTTAATGATGGCCAAGACAAGCTGCAGATGTTTCACCTCTGTGAAGGCATGGGCTTTTGGCCACTCCTGGTACCAGCTTACCAGGGAGGTCAATGCAATATGTAACATATTTATTTACCAGAGAAAGAACTTACACACAAGCTGAAAGGTGGCAGGCTTCCAATAGAGGGCTTACTTTATCTTTCGCTTTCTTTTATTCAAACCTGTGCCAGTACCTTTTGGGGTGTGGACTATATTGTGAGCTCACCCCTACAATGTCCAATATTGTGAAATTGACATTTTAGTAGTAAAGACACACAGTAATAGCCATGCATTATACTGATAATCATGTTATATACACATCACGGTTGCAAGTGACTTCACACTAGTGGTAAAATAAATTAGTACAGATATGATACTAAACTGCAATCTGGAAAATTGAAAGTAACATCCATGAGAGGAGCAAGAACAAAGTTACAAGCCGGGCATTGGTGACACATGCCTTTAATTCCAGCACTTGGGAGACAGAGGCAGGTGGATCTCTGTGAGTTCGAGGCCAGCCTGGTCTACAGAGTGAATTCCAGGATAGCCTCCAAAACAATACAGAGAAACCCTGTCTCGAAAAAAACAAAAAACAAAGTTACAAATAGAAAGAGCAGCTAAAGGTCGAGAATTTGGAGTGTGTGAGAACACAGAGAGCCATACATAGTAGTGATGGAAAAATATAGAATCAAAGAGCATGAACAAGACTGCAGTGGTTTAATAAAAAGTAGTAGCTCTTGTTAAATAGACAAGCTGAAGACAGAGACAAGTGGATGAGTTTTGGATGATTTAAAATCAGGTTATTCATCAATAATTGGGGTTGGGATTGGGAATGAGGGATGAAGAAGACAGAAAAGCCAAAACTAAATTTGCATTTAGGGAACCAGAAATTGCTTTAGTTGTAGTGATATAGGAGCTTTGGAGGGGGAAATCAAATTTGTTTTTGGCTACATGATTTCAGAAATAAACAGTAGATATTCAAGTGGCACTATTATGTAGGCAGCTGACATCTGGGGAGATAACTCAGCTATAGACTGCTTTACTTGAAAGCTTGATGACATGAGTTAAAGCCCAAGAATCCCCGTTTTAAAAAACCTAACAGCATGGCACTCTTGTAATCCCACAGTTGCCTGAGGCTCGCTGGTCAGCCAGTTTAGCTGTAGGTTCCAGGTCCACGAAAGGCCTGTCTCAACATAATGGTGTACAGCAAACAAGGAAGGACATCTGTTTTGTCATCTGACCTCTACATGCACAGGCACACACACGTGTGTGCACATACACACACATGCGTGTGTACAGGCACACACGAGTGTGCACATACAAACAAAATCTTAAACCATTGTATATGAGAGTTCAAAAGAGTTGTTAAGTTGTTGAAATTTATTAGTCTACATATCTATATTTACACTTTACAACCAGGAATCAGGAATAAATGTATGCCTAGGATTGAGTTTTTTTTTTAATCCAGTATTTTTAGGGGTTAGGCAGAGAACAAGACATGAATAAAGTAAACCGAGAAGCAAAAGGTAAGGTACAGAATAGAGAAATGCAGTTGAATGGGTGCTTTTAAGTCAAGATCAGGACTAGAGAGACGGCTTAACAGAGTATGCTGCTCCTGCAGAGGACCTAAGTTTGGTTTTAGCACAACATGCAGGAGCCTACAACAGTTACCTCTCGTTGTAGCTCCAGAGGATCTGATGCCCTCTTCTGGCCTCTGGAGGCATTCCTACACATGTGTACATACTCAGAGATACATCCATACAAAGTTAAAAATAACAAAAATAAATCTAAAAGAAAAGAAAAACAGTCAAGATCACAACGAAGTAATGGTCATTGGATATGGCAACTTTGTCCAGAATGTTCTCTTTGAAGTTCTTACTGAGGACAGTCTCTTTGAAACAGTGAAGTCAAAACCTGCCTGGAACAGACTGAGAAGAGAAATACAAAATGGAATCAGAATCTGTAAACAAGCCTTCAAAAGTATTTGTTGTGAAAGAAATCAAGAGAAACAGGAGTGTAGCAAAGGAGCTCTGGGGTCAAGAGAGTTCTGGGTTTTGTTTTTTGGTTTTGTTTAGATGAAGGATGTTAAAGCATATTTACATACTAATAAGAGTGATCTGGCAGACTGGAAACTGATTATGCAGGAGAGAAGATAATTACAGAAAAAGGCTGCAGAGGTAGACAGTTTGTTGGTATTCAAGCAAAGTATAAAGGTTACTTTTAAAAGGACCAGGTACACAGAACCCCGCTGCAAGGGAAGGGATTATGCACTATGCAGTTAGACTGGTAGATCTGCAGTAGAAACACAAAGATGTTGCTTTGTGAGTAGTTTGATTTGAGCAAGAAAAGTCAATGTCAGGGTTGGGAAGGAAGTGTAGGTTGAAAAAGAGATATGCAGTTGTTTAAGTAGAAGTGAGTATATATAATTTTCAAACACGGATGTGATTGAGCTTTAGGTATAATAAATAGTGAGGAAACTTATAAAATATCTCAAAGGCCTCTTCCTCAAATATTTTAAGATATCTTATTAGAAGATCTAACACTTTGTTTTTCAAGGATTCTAATAAGTGTTTTCTATCCAAATCATGAAAGTTGAGGCCTTCTTAAGGGTATGAGTATTTCTTGTTTTCTTACTTTTGCTTACATGGTACAGAGTACATGGCAGAAAAGTTTGGCATATATCCTACTTGAAAAGCTATGAAAATTAAAATTAGTTTAGTTTTGAAAGAGGCATAGCATTTATTTAGGTTGTCAATATTTTCAAAATCCTATTTTGGAGGGGTTTAATCTCCCATCTAAACTTTAAAAAGAAAACAACAAGTGTGCATCTATTAACCTTGTAAGACAAATTACTTTTGTTTCCAGGTAGAAAACATTAAAATATTTTGCCATTTAGAAGTACAAGGGCAATATAAATTGTTTTGCTCATTGTTCCACCAAACTTAATATGTTTTTTTTCTTGTAAAAAATAGTGTTTGGTACTTCATTGCTGGATAAGCTGTATCTGATGGGTGGGAATTTGAAGATGCATATTTCTTCATTGGGCTTTATGTGAAATTAGATTGTGGATAATAGGATAAGATTGTTCTCCTGATTTTTGCTATTCTAGCATAACCAAAATATAAATATGTAAATATACAGTAAATGTTTAACTGCTTAAACACTTTAGATATTTAAATGGCCACCTCAAATTTTAAATGGTAGACATTTCAATGAACTCAAAATATTAAGTATGAAAGTCTTTGTGACACAAATCCTAAAAAAAATACTAAATTATGTACTTCTTTTGTTTGTTTGGATTTTTGTTTTTAGAGACAGGGTTTCTTTGTGTGACGCTCCTGGCTGTCATAGAACTCATTTTGTATACCAGATAGGTCTCAGACTCCCAGAGATCCACCTGCCTCTGCCTCCCAAGTACTGGTATTGAGGGCATGTGTCCCCACATCCCAGCTAAATAGTGTATTTCTATAAAATGCCTAGATAACATCCGTCTAGAATGACTTATTTAATCCGTCACAGAGATTATATTTGACTAATAAAAAAACTGCAGCCAAAATATTTTCCTTCCATATGTTAAAGACTTGTGAGGTCTTTGTAAACTGACTTGAAGCTATTTATTATCAAATGTTAGCATTATAGCCATCTATTCTTGCAAGAGAGTATAGGTCTATTTGTGAAAATAAGGAAGGATAGTACCACATTATGTTTTCTCAGGTTGGAATCATATCACTATTTAGAGCATGTATGTTTCCTCCCACGTTGCTTATATTGTCTATGTTTCCTTTTTTGTTGTAATTACACTATAGTAGAGACACAAACGCAGTGAAATCACATGACTCAAACTGCAATCCCACCTACTACCTATCTACTTGATCACAGTACTGAAGTAGTTCAGATTGATTGGAAAGTGGTACTATTTTCATCTTATAAAAATCTACCATACTATTTCATGTACATTTTCACGTGCTGGCATGCATACAAGATAATAGTGTTATAGAATGGAATGTCCAGTTCTCAATATGAGGGATTGTTTATGGTAAATTGCATTATGTATGTCATCTATTTGCTGAAAGAATATGGAGTTTGGCAAAACAACCTGCTGAGCAACATAGAAAGATTTTTGTACAAAGTACAAATTGGTAATTATTGTATTTTATTTTTCTATGATTTCCTAAAAGGCATTATCAGGGTCTTACAGATGGAGAAAGCCTGTTTATTAAAATATCTATTACCAAATAAAAGTTACAGTTTTGGTGGTTCAATTTGTGACGTTTTGTACTATTGTATGCAAGTATATTATTGTAATTTACTTTTAAGTATATACTTCTAGTTATTGTTTAGAACTTTAATAATTCTGTATATGAAACATAGTTGTAATTTTTTTAAATAATTACAGACTCTGAGGTCTAGGCCTAAATTCACACATATCACTATATTTTTGTAGTGATTTTATACTGGCAAATATTTTATGAGATTCAGATGAATGAAATTATGTATTACAGAGGTAGTTTATACACATACGGCACATACACAATATCAACTGTTCTAACAAATCTTTAGACCATCACTGTCCATTGCAAAATTTTTAATAAATTATAATTCAGGGATTTTCCAGATTCTTTATAAGTTGCTGATAAGAAAATACATCTGTACTATTCTGAGTTCGTTAGAAGTAACATATCCACTGTATCTCACTCTTTTATAATTGTGGAACTGTAGCTCCAAAAAGTCACTATGGCATGAAAGGTGGTAAGCAGATATCTAACACTCTCTAGGACATGCCTTAAGTACACTTAAGAAAATTACATACTGGTTTAAAAGCTTGTTTTGCTCATAATAAAATCAAGAGAGTCAAACTAACTTTGTAAGTCACGTGAAATAATTTTATGTTGTGTTTCTGGGTAAACTCAAGATAGGTTATAACTGCCAACCATCAGAACAGTAGGTGCAAACATATGACATACTTACATTGTTTTAGGGTTCGTCTTTTCAATGTTTTCTAGATTACAAAACAGAATTTAGGTTTCCTGTGAACTCTTTAATCTCCAATAATAAAGTAGTATATCAACTACACTTCTCTAAAATAACTTCACCTTTTGTTGTTAAAATCAACTAAGTTGGGGAAGAGATGGCTCAGTGGTTTAAAGCTCTTGTGGCTCTTGCAGAGAAACTAGGTTTGGTTCACACTACCCACATGGTGGCTCACAACCTTCCCTAATTCCAGTCCCAGCAGATATGATGCCCTTTCCTGGCCTCTTCATGCACCAAATACTCATGTGGTACATATGCATACATATAAGCAGACAAAACACACATAAAATAAAATGAATAAGTCCAATAAAATGTTTTTAAAGTATCATCCAAGTTTATTGTAAGGCTGGTTGTTCAGTCTACCTCTTATATTTCTGTTTTCTCCACATGCTTTGTACCAAGAAAAACTGAACTTAATTTAAAAAGTGCCCCCAAAAAGTTCTAGCACATAAGCTCTATTACATGTCTAAGGGGGAAATGTTGTATAAGCAAATAAGCATTCATGTTTTGTCAAAGTGAGTCAAAACATTGGAAATCAAAGAGAAGTGTTTAACAGCTCCCTGTAAATGCACTTTGGTTCAGAAGTTAAAGGACAACCACACCAGGGATTGAGTTGATTTTCTTTGATTAATAAGAAAAAAACTCAGGACATAGGAAAGCATGAATATTTGTTATCAGTCAGACATATATACTTTTCCTTCTGTTTTCCTCAAAAACACTAGATAAAATGTAATTTTCCTAGACCACAAAGTATAGCATATTCCCATCATCTATTTTAACAAGGACATTCATGCCATCTACATACATGAATTTTTGTTCATTCAGTTTGTTTTTTGCCTTGCAAGAGTCAGGAGACCAGAACTACACCTTATTCCATGTTATGAACACCTGGGAATTTGGAAAAGCAACAGAAAAAGCACTCCATAGTAATGCACTACCATCTCTTTTATGGAACTTCTTTCAGTTTCTTTTTTTTTAATCTCCATAGTCAAGTTACTCGGACAAATTTAAAAATAAAAAGTATGATAGTTAAACATACTGCTAGCCAGTGAAAAGGTAAAAATAACACCCCACACCTATACTAACAAGTAAAATGGAGAGTTGAAGCTTTTTTTTAAATGTAGAGATGAAACTTTTAAAATACAAGTTTGTCATGAAAGTCATCCGTTGATGAGTAGAATGGTGGAAATGGCCAGCTTCAAAGACTTGACAAAAATTTCGTAGGTCTTTAAAATTGTTGCATCTGTAGCCTGTCCACTGGAGAACAATAAAAATGTGAGGAAAAGTGTCTATCCAAAAATCTTTCAATTAGAGCCAGGCGTTGGTGGCACAAGCCTTTAATCCTAGCACTCGGGAGGCAGAAGCAGGCAGATCTCTATGATAGACCACCCTGGTCTATCCAAAGCAATACAGAGAAACCCTGTCTAAAATCTTTCAATTAGCACAATTTATTTCTATTGCTATAAATTCCAAGTGAATTGGCCACCAGACTCTCTGATCCCGGGGTCTGTAATCACAAATTCATGCCTGGTGTTAATCTCTCCCAGACAACAGACAACTAAGAGTCAGGGACAGAACCACACTTCCTTTGCCAAATAATGTCTCTGGCCTTTTTAAAAAAAAAAAAAAAAACTATGGTGTATACAGCAGTTTCTCTCCTCTCCTGCCTATGCTAACAGCTATACTCCCGCAGGACTCGCTCTCAGGTCTAGCTGAGCCCAGGGAAGGTCTGTGTGATGGGAACCACATCTCCGTCGA